CAAATGATTTCACTCATCTGTGGAGTATAAGAACAGAGAAAAAAGTGAACCCAAGAATGGACTAACAGTTGCCAAAGGGAACGGGACTGGGGAGGATGGGTGGCAAGGGAGATATAAGGGGGAAAAGGGGGCATTATGATTAGCACACATAATGTTGGGGTCGGGGCACAGGGAAGGCAGTGTAGCACAGAAAAGACAAGTAGTGACTCTATAGCATCTTACTAGGCTGATGACAGTGACTGTAATGGGGTATGTGGTAGGGACTTGATAATGGGGGGAGTCTAGTAACCACAATGTTGGTCATGTGATTGATTGATACCAAAAAAAAAAACAAACCTGAGAGTGGGTAAGAAGGAAGATTAACATTTCAAGAAGATACAGCAAATATTTGTCGGCAGCTAACAACTACAAGCCTTTGGAGAGTAAAGGAAGGTAAAGCAGAGATCCAGAAAGGAGGAAGGAGTGAGGTGCCCACACTGAGGGCAGAAATGCCCCATCCACAGCCTGAGCACTATGTACTGATGCAATGGAAAAGGCCACAGGTGCTGACAAGCAGGGATGAAGGGATGGAAGCCGACAACGGCATCAGAGATGTCATATATGCATGAGTCTGGATCCATGTCCCTGAGGTAGTAAGTGCTCTAGTAAAGGGGGCACTCCCTCAGGCCTCCTCAGTACCAAGCCTGAGGATGAAATGGTGTAGAGGAAAGCCTTTGTGCATCTTTGCACAATAGCCAGGCCTCCTCTTTCCCTCCTCACTGTCTGCATGGCTGCCAGCACAAGCGTGTTGTACCAACTCCCTATCCACTGGCGACTGGCAGGGTTCCACCTGACTGTGGTGGTGAGTGTGCTGCAAACCTATCTTTCCTTGGCATCCCTTACTGCAGTTGAAGTTAAGAGCCACTTTGAATTAATTTCATAGGATCAGAGAATTTGAGGGCAAAGAGATCTTTGATCACCAATTCACATATTTTACAGATGAGGAAAAACAAAAACTTAGAGAGGTGAAATGTGTATTCACAGTGAGTGTATTGCTCTTTCCAGAAAAAGGCAGCTGATTTTATAGTTTCAATTTCACATATTATGACTGTGATTTAAATAAAACAGTTAGTAAACAGTGCTAAAAAAAAGTCAAGCTAATTATTTGTTAGTATAATCTTAACTACCCATGGAAGTTCAGGCAGACTTTACTGCTTAACTAAATTCATTCTCCTTTGCCCAAAGAGACATAAATAAACTTGAAAAACATGGAGGAAAAAAACTGGATATGATTCTCCTATCTGGTATGGTAAGTCAACTATGCATCTATTTCTGACTGAAAGAGTGATGTAAAGAGATGTCACTAAGAAATAAAAAAGGGAAAATACCTGTATTTACTTCCCTTTGGGAACTAAAGCCCCAGCTTAATCTCGGTTTGGCTTCTTACCTTTGTAATTTTCTTTCTTTATGAAATAATCCATCAGTAAATTAAATGTAAAGTTATCTGGAAAAATTCCATATTGGACCTGTAGTGAAAATGAAAGTAAAAAGAAAACAAGAAAATAGATCCACTTTAATTCAGTTTGTAATATATGCCCATGTATTATTCAGGACAAAACTTGCCACCATTAGCTTTAAAATATCTGACTATCATTTTACAGCATTTGTGACAGTGAAATAGAAGCTGTGACTCATGAGGTTTGGTAATTGGAACTGTTGGTCAGGGTGAGAATGTTGTTAGTGGGTGTCTGATATAAGACAACTGATGCGCGAAAAATAAAGTTTGATTCTAACACCTCATCATAGTTAAAAAAACAAAAAATAAAACAACAAAACCTCTACATACTCCACTGTCAGTGATTCTTTTTATAAGGTACAAATATCAATGCAAAATGGACTCCCAAGAGAGAGCACACATTATCACATTAGGCAGCGTTTTCTGGTCCTTGGACTGTTTTTCCCCAACTTTATTGAGATACAATTGATACATAACAAAGTATAAGTGTAAGGTGTGCAACATGATGATTTAATACACATACATATATGGTGAAATCATTGCAGTAAGGTTAGTTAACACATCTATCGCCTTGCATAACAGTTTTTTGTTGCTGTGGTGATGAGAACATTTAAGATCTACTCTCTTAGCAACTTCCAAGCACACAATATGGTATTGTTGACTATAATCACTATGCCATACACAGATCCTTAGAACTTATTAATGTAACTGAATACATAAATAAACTTGAAAAACATGGAGGAAAAAAACTGGATATGATTCTCCTATCTGGTATGGTAAGTCAACTATGCATCTATTTCTGACTGAAAGAGTGATGTAAAGAGATGTCACTAAGAAATAAAAAAGGGAAAATACCTGTATTTACTTCCCTTTGGGAACTAAAGCCCCAGCTTAATCTCGGTTTGGCTTCTTACCTTTGTAATTTTCTTTCTTTATGAAATAATCCATCAGTAAATTAAATGTAAAGTTATCTGGAAAAATTCCATATTGGACCTGTAGTGAAAATGAAAGTAAAAAGAAAACAAGAAAATAGATCCACTTTAATTCAGTTTGTAATATATGCCCATGTATTATTCAGGACAAAACTTGCCACCATTAGCTTTAAAATATCTGACTATCATTTTACAGCATTTGTGACAGTGAAATAGAAGCTGTGACTCATGAGGTTTGGTAATTGGAACTGTTGGTCAGGGTGAGAATGTTGTTAGTGGGTGTCTGATATAAGACAACTGATGCGCGAAAAATAAAGTTTGATTCTAACACCTCATCATAGTTAAAAAAACAAAAAATAAAACAACAAAACCTCTACATACTCCACTGTCAGTGATTCTTTTTATAAGGTACAAATATCAATGCAAAATGGACTCCCAAGAGAGAGCACACATTATCACATTAGGCAGCGTTTTCTGGTCCTTGGACTGTTTTTCCCCAACTTTATTGAGATATAATTGATACATAACAAAGTATAAGTGTAAGGTGTGCAACATGATGATTTAATACACATACATATATGGTGAAATCATTGCAGTAAGGTTAGTTAACACATCTATCGCCTTGCATAACAGTTTTTTGTTGCTGTGGTGATGAGAACATTTAAGATCTACTCTCTTAGCAACTTCCAAGCACACAATATGGTATTGTTGACTATAATCACTATGCCATACACAGATCCTTAGAACTTATTAATGTAACTGAAGTTTGTACTCTTTGACCAATATCTCCCCATTCCTGGGCCTTCCACACCCAGCCCATTGCATCTACCATTCTACCTACCCTCTGTTTCTATGCATTCAGCTTCTTTAGATTCCACATACAAGTGAGGTCACAGGGTATTTGTCTTTCTGACTTCTTTCACTTGGTATAATGCCCTAAAGGTTTGTCCATGTTGTCACAAATGGCAGGATCTTCTTTTTTATGGCTGAATAATATTCCATTGTGTGTATATACCACATCTTCTTCATCCATTCATCTTTCAATGGACACTCATGTTGTTTCCATGGCTTGGCTATTATGAATAATACTGCAGCGAACGTAGGGGTGCTGATATCTCTTTGAGATAGTGATTTCATTTCCTTTGGTTATGTACCCAGAAGTGGAATTCCTAGGTCATATGGTAGTCCTCTTTTAATTTGAGGAACCTCCTACTGTTGTCCATAGTGGCTGCACCAATTCACATTCCCACCAACAGTGTATGAGGGTTCCCTTTTTACCACATCATCACTAACACTTGTTATTTCTTGTCTCTTAGGCTGGTTTTTAAAGACCGTAGAACTAGGGCAACAAAATATTACTAACAAGCTCCTAGGATGTTCTGTTCTCAGGCAGCTGTATATTTGAGAATTTAGAATTCTCAAAATATGGGCTTTAGCATCTGCCTCCTAATTTTCTAGGATTGTTTTGATGTAGAAGATTTCTAAGCCTTAGACTTACAGAATCAGAATCTCTGGGAATGGGACACAGAAACCTGAAGTTTAGTAAGCTTCCCATGTGATCATCATGCATAATCAAGTTTGACTACTAGTGATTTAGAGCGTGGTTATATTTTTGTTATAAATTCTTACTTCAGTAGGATTAACCACTATTCCCCACACTGCTCCATTCTTCCCCCATCAACCACCAGAAACACTTGAGGAATTTTCCTGCATCCACCCCCTTGGGAGAGTCTGCTAGTCCTAACCCCCTGTTGCAAATCACTGTTTAACTGAGTCACGGTTACTAGTCGGCTGTTTGGGGTGCCTCAGGTGTGCTGAAACCTAAGAAAAGTTTAGAAGCCATTGTTTTAAAGGTAGCTCCTGGACAGTGTTTATATTTCTCAAAGCAGTCATCTATATCAGCACTATCCCTGGGGGCTGGGTAAAACAAAAATGTTTTAAACTGATGTATCAGTAAAACTGCAGGGAGCCTTAGAGATCAACTGGTCAGTGATTCTCAACCCTGGCTGCAGATTAGAATCAACTTGAGAGCTTTAAAAAGATACCCATGAGGGATGAGTAGGCAAGCACAGAGGATTTTAAGGGCACTTAAACTACTCTGTATGATACTGTAAGGGTAGATGCATGTCATTATACATCTGTTCAAGCCCACAAAATATACAGTATTACCAGTGAACCCTAATGTAAACTATGGACTTTGAGTGATAATGATGTGTTACTGTAGGCTCACTGATTATAACAAATGAATCACTCTGGTGGGGATGGTAATAATGGGGGAGGCTGTGCGTGTATGAGGACAGGGAACATATGGGAAATCTCTGTACCTTCTGCTCAGTTTTGCTGTGAACCTAAAACTGCTCTAAAAAAAATAGTCTATTTAAAAATTTTTCAAAACCCATTTGAAAAAAATACCAATGCCTAGGCTCCAGAAAGATCAATTAAATTAGAATCTTGTGGGTAGAGAAAAGCATCTGTAATTTTTAAAAGCTTCCTGTGTGAGTCTATGGGAAGTCAGGGTTGGCAATCACTGACTTGATACAACTCACTTGACTTAAGAGTCGAGAAACCTAGAACCTAGGATAAAATTATATGCCTGAAGTTACAGGCAATTGGTGGGACTTCTGGGTTACAGCCTGGGTCTTCTGACTTTGCTAATGCTCTTTCCACTAAAACTAGGAGCAGCAGAAAAGGAGACAGACGATTCTGCCTTTCTAGATCCTTCTTGCTTTGTGTTTTCATTGAACTGTTCTTCTTTGAGTATAATCTGTCATTAAACTTTGAACTGAACATTAAATTCTTCCTTGGGGGCCTAATACTAGATTTATCAGTGAACCTGCTTATCTGCTTCATTAAATTATAAGCCTCCTGAGGGCAAGGATAGGATATTGCTCATTTTTGTAGTCAATACCATGCTCAACAGTGTCTCACACATGAAACGTTTACAATGTGTATTAAGTTGAATGGGGTCTAAGTCATGGGAGTGAAACCCTCCAAACAACATTTGAGTTCTAACATGCAAGGTCCAGTGACACTACAGAAATAATACATTTTCATAGAAATGTTGTTACAATCTTTTTATGGGTCAGACTAGTGTTGTAGCGTGAGACTCACAATAATAACATTCTAAACCTTTGCTTATTTTGTACTTTATTTCATACAACAAAGGTAACAAAGACTAAACCCTGGGTGGAGTGTAATGTTCAGAGAGAGACCCTAATCATAGGGGGATCTAAGGGAGGAGTCAGGGAAGTCAGAAGGTATGTTTTGAGTAACCTAGGCATATTCTCTTTCTAAAAATGTATAAGACAGTCTGAACACTCTGGAAATAGCATTCCGGCAAAATGGTCATGTCCTTTTCCCCAAACTTTACCAAAGGGAACCAGGCAAGAAATCCAAGGCTCAGGGATCAAGAATGAAATGAGCCCCAGTGCAGAGTTCTTGGGGTTGGACTGCCTTTTGCTTTTATTGTCCATTTCTGAGTCACTATGTGTGCAAAAGAAGCAGCTACAGGAATTGTTTTATTAATGTGTTGATTAATTTATATCTAACTCCATTTCCAAAAAGGATATCTGAGAACAAATACATTTTGAAAGTTATTTCTTATACTATTCATTGCTGTATTGAATAGGAACAAACACCACATGGTCTAAATTCAGGGAAAGAAGCTACAAATACCAGGAGACTGCTCACCTTATTTATTAGAGTATATAAGGCTTTGTCTTGTGCACCGTATTTCAGACACTGCCTAATCCAAGTGTGGATGGTCCAGTCTCTCAGGTACCAGCAGTTGGGGCTGTGTCGAAATCTAAAGAAAGAATAAGGAGAGAGTAAAGTGTGTTAACTATCACATGTCAATGCAAAATACATCCTACATCAGTAGGTCCTTCTCTTAGACATTTACAAATGTGCAGTCAATGTGACTATAAGTCATACAAGTCAACAGTTGATAAAAACTTGATGATAAAACTTATTAACTATAGAGTACAAAATGAGAAAGAGAAGGCAAAATAATAATAACAAAAATTTTATTCCTTAACAACCCCTCATTCAACATCTTGCTTTAAAATATGAGATTTACAACAAATGATATGGGGAAACTATTCAACTAACCATATGTGGCGTTACGTATATACATATTTCATTAAAAGAGAGATGTGAGGATGAAGTTGACACTTCTGAAGTTTAAAATAAAACAGATGAAGCAATAATGAAAAACAGAGTAGCATAGCAACTCTAGAGGCAAATCAGCCTTTGATATCAGCTAATGATATTTCTGTGGCACTTAGGAGAGATGGGGACACTCTTCACTGAACCAAAAGAAAACAAAAAAGCAGAAAAAAATTAAAATTGAGCGAAATTTAACATTCAGGTCCTCCAGGATCCACAATCCCACCACCTTTCTCATGGCTTCATTCCAGCTCTTTCCATCTCCTTGGTTCCTACAGCTCCCCACATGGGTTTTTAAAGCCTACACAGCCCAAACTGAGGTCTATACAGTAATAACGTTCCCACAAAGGAATGGAACTTGGAAAGGAATTATGAATACTGCTCTTGCCTCCAGTCTACACACACTGGTGACACCTGGGGCTGGGGTGTCACCAGTTCCTGGGGATGCCTGACACAAGGTTGCCAGTGGAGGCATGACTGTAAGGAGTCTGTATAAAGCACTTTGCAGTTCTTTTTTTATTTATCTGTTTGAATGGGACAGATCCTGAAACATCCTAACATGTCAGCGAAAGACCTCACCTTTTCTTTAACTATTTAGAAAGAAGGTTTCTAAAAGGCTCTACAAAAATCAAAGTGTTTTCTTAGGATCAAAAAGGTAAGACAAAAACTTGGAGTGAAAGGCTTCTGTGCTCTATTTGAGGGTTGGGGATAGGCTAATACTTTAGAGGCAGGTTATTCAATCTGCCACCTGCTATTTCCTGCCATCTGCTCCTGGGAGAGTTTCCTTCTGAACAGGTTCTCTGCCAAAATAAAAGCTGAGAAAGAGAGAGAAAATGAGAAGTAGTATTTAATTTAGGATATTTATTAGTGCTCTGGTGAGAGAATTGGCAAAAATAAGATCTGAAGTTTTATGGATATAGAGTCATCTACCCTCTTCAGACCTTTGAAAATCTTAGATTTGGCTGGAAAACATTTCTCATTCTAGGATTCTCTATAGATTTAACCCCCTAAAAAGCAGAAAGATAGAAATATATCAAGTTATGCTCAGGATGAACATGCCCTGGCCAGGAAAAGGCACTGTATAGGGTTTGGGTGTACCAGGGCTACTGGGATCCTCTGTACACAAATGCAACAGTATATATATATCTTTAAGTATTTCATGCTTTCCCTCATATTTTAAAGTCAACTGGTGAACTACTTGAGTTCCTTTCCTGGTTACTCTGAAAAATTTGAGATTTGAAGTGTAATGGCCAATTAAAAGTTAATTTTATTTTTTAAAGAAAAAAGGTCAAGTGAAGTATCAGGTAAACTACCAAAATCACAGTGATGCGTCCTTGCTGGCCTGTAGACTACCCGGGCAAGTAGAGGCAGTGATTCATTCAACACCGATTCATTCCTCAATGCCTGACACAATTTGTGACCCAAAAGATTTTCAGAAAATGAAAAAAAGGAGTCTCAATCAACACATGTATTAAATGCTGTTAATGTACTGATCATTTTGTTAATATCTGTGGTATACACAAAGAATCGTAAACTCCTTATTTGGGGCATTTATAATCTCATCACAAACGTTACAGGAAACAGAGTTTTAATAGTAACACAAGGTGGGTCATGATATGGATGCAGCTCGATGCTGAGATGTGTTCTGGAAGTAGTGGTTAGGTTCAGTCCATTTTTTCCTTTAAAAATAAGCAAACAAAACAAAATAAAAAACACCTCCTTTGCCCACATTGTTTTCAACCTAAACCTCATTTTACATAGAATCTTCTGTCTCTGGATGTGTCCAATGACCACTGAAGTGATGACTGTTCTTTTCGGTGGAATATGAGAGCACCATTATTATACTCAAACAAACACCTGTTTGTCTTATTCATGATCAGCAGACCATTTTTAGGCTCTGAAGAATAACAAAGATTGATAGGACCTAGTTATAGACCTTCAGAGCACAAACTAAAGTTTCTTTAAAGCCATTTGCTAACTTTCTGAGGCTAACTTCAACACAGGGAAGGACAGAAAAGTCTTCTCAGAAGTCTGTCCTTCTGTCCTTCTCACACTTAATTTCTCAGAAGCCTGAAGGGAAAGGCACTCAAGTCTTCACGCATCTACCATAAACATCTCAGCCCAGCAGCCTCTGAGAGATCTGTCAACAGACTCAGAAGGGTCTTTAATAAGCCCACTCCTTCTCCCACCCTGGAACAGGGCAACTGCATAATATGACCTCTGCTCCCTGGGACCTAATAATGTAGATGCACAACCAGGTCCATGACATTTTCAACTAAACAAAATCAATTTAATGACAACTCTAAATCAATTCGGGAATGAGGGAAACATACGTGTGTTATCAGATATGCTGCCCAGAGAGCAATTACTGTATTTCCCAGCCAATCAGCAAATAGTCTTTTCTAAGCCTCCATCAGTGTTAAAAAATGAATTAGCACCCAACTTCTGTGAGTAGCTATCTAGAATATTAACAATTCAAACATTGAGATAGTAGGATCCGATAGCAAATTTGGATAGCAAGTTTGGATAGCAAGTTTGAGACGAATTCCTTTGTCAATGACATTTCAAGCAGTTCAGACAGATAAACCTGGGTCCTTTTCAGAACTGCCAGTGGTAATATGACAGGCCGGTACATCTCTGAAATGGGTACTTGCCTGGAATGATTCTGTGGACTGCTGGACGAACATTCTCCCTCTCAGCCAGGAGAAAGGCAAAGAGACAAGAACACAACTAACACATTGATTTTCCAATTTGCCTGCAAACAGACTGGCTTTTCTTCTCGCCTGCTCTGACCACCAGCCTGACCGATGACAGGCAGCCACTGCAGGAGTCCCCTCTGTGCCCCATGCCATCAGCTGTTTGCTCACCTCAACAGAAGCTTTATTGTTGTTCAGGCCAGCAGGCTGCCAAGCTAGGCAAACTGTGTGAGTGTGGAAAAGATAAACAAATGCAACCCAGATAACCCCAGCAATGCTTGTGCTCATGAAGGCCAGAGACTTTTTGAGCTTCCAGCTTATAAAATATAAGCAAACTTCAATTCTAAAAACATGAGTATTTCTTGGAGGAAGAAGGGGCACCAGAATGGGGAGAGAATGAAGAACTGTGGTCTCCAGCTCCAGCTCCCATTCCAAGAGCTGGCATCCCATAGTGGAAGAGATCTCTGCCCACAGCACAAACAGGGTTTCCAGGTGAAGGCAGGATTTGCCTAGGAAGCAACACCATGAACAACCAAATGGAAGGAACTGAGAAATTTACCCTCCTCAAAAATTAGGTTATCATTAGGTCTCCTAAGGCACTGGCCTGCACTGTGGCTCATTCAGAACTGATGCTACCAGGAAAGAAGGAAGGACAGCAGAATTGCAGACTGCAAAACTGACGTGGAGGTAAAAGTCTTCGATACCTTAGCTAATTTTTAGAAGGGAAGAGAGGTTATATCCAAGAAGTGAAGAGTGAAAAGAAAAACACCAGAGATGTACTATTATAATCACAGCATTGAAGGCACTACACTGAGTGTAGAAAAGTCACATGGGATTTTCTATTTGTGATCCGTTTCAACGTTTCACTGAGCAAACAAAAAGTGCGGTACAGCCTTTCTGCCATAGGATTCAAATAAAGGTTATCATTGAGGGCAAAAGGGGCAGTGCTCACCAGCTCTTTCAGAATCACAAATAAAAGTGCTCCTGGCAGAGCAGGGCTAGTGCACAGATGCCAGGGCCTGGAGCTCAGCAGCCCCGTTTAGCTGCAGCACTGGCTCTTCCAGATGAATGAGCAAGCTTTCCACAATGTTTAGCTGATTATGAGAGCCACCAACCTTAAACACACACATGCAGCTTTCCTTCCTCCCTAGTGAATTCTGTATCCTGTGGCAACAGGCTGTACAGATGGAAACCTCAGCCCCTGAGCTGGGGACACATGGAGATGAGTGAGGGGCCGGGGAAAGGGAGGAAAGAAAGAATGCCAAGAAGAAAACACAGCTGCTCCAAAGCATGCAGGGTAGACTGGAGCCTTATCAACGAAGCAGAGTGTGTAATTATTAAAAGGTTTGAGCACTTTCCTGAACCACAACCAAAGACCAACAAAGTGTCATGTGACTATTTAAACCAGAATCTGATTCAGTCACTGCTACCCACTTTCTCATTCTACAAGAATAATCACTTTCTTTTGTATCCTGCTGGAAATCCTGCTTTCATCAATTATTAGTTGCTGTCAACTACCACATATAAAATCAGTGAGATAATTTTCTAATCACTATTGTATTTTTGTCAAGTGTTTAAAAAATGGGGCAGAATCAAATTTAGGAACTGATAAAAAAGACATCAGTATCGTAGGTTAAAATCTCTTTCCCGCTGAGATCCCAGTCTTACTCCTACAGGCAAACTTGGGTTAATTTTAATTTTGGACAGTCTGTTCTGATTGTACACTAAGAGTGGCACCAGGAGGAAGAACCCCCTCCCAACAACCCCTCAGATAGTCCACCAGTTTGGGATTGGACATTTCCGATGCATTTGTTATCTACTCATGAGGCAGATAAAAATGACCTTTAAAAAAAAATTCTAATACTTTTTCCTTTCTTAAAAGACAAGCTTACAGAGATATAACGTACAAACATTAAGATCCCTGCTTTTCAGTGTACAGGGC